GCAAGCGCATGCACCCTGTAAAAAAAACCCCCCCAAAAAAAAAAAAGGAATATATACTTTGTGTTGAATCATATTGTACCTCACAACTATGCATAAATATGTGTACAATTTTAATTTTTAAAAAATGTAAATGAGGGAGACATTAAGATATTCTCAGGTAAAGAAAAAGTCTAGGACGGGGCTGGCAGGAGGTACAGTGATTAAGGCACTGGACTCCCACATGGCTGACCACATTCCAACTCCGGGACCTGATGTCTTGCTTTCTCACTTTCCCTCTCTCTCATTCCCTCTCTGGTCAAATTAAAATAACAATAAATAAAATTAAATAATTCTTAAAAGGAAAAAAAGTCTAGGGAGAGTCCATTACCAATAGGCCTGCCCTCCAAGGAATGTTGAGGGAAATCCTTCACATTGAAATGAAAGGTCCTCTAGACGGTAACTAAGCTGTACAAAAACATGAAGATCTCCATTACAAGTAAACATATAAATACAAAAAGTAGTATTGTAATATTGGCTCATAACTCCACTTCCTATTTTCCTGCAGGATTTAAAAGAGCATAAATTAATTATAAATCTATTTTAATGGACACATAGTCCATAAACATGTAATTTGTGACATCAATAACATAAGAGGAAACAGAATTTTAAAGGAATAAAATATTTACCTCTAATGAATTAGAGTGTTGGGGTCAGCAGGTAGAATGGTGGTTAAGGCACTGGACTCCCACATGGCTGACCATGGTTCAAGTCCCAGACCAAGTGGCTTGCTTTCTCACTTTCTCCTGCTCTGTCTCTCTCTGGCTAGTGCATATGTCTATAGCAAAGTTAAAAATAATAAATAAAATTAATTATTTTTTAATAAAAATAGCCAAAGTGTTTATAGGCATTTGAAATTAATTTGCTATCAATTTAAAATAGATTACAACTTACAATACTATATATAATGCCTGTGGTAACCACAAAATAAACTATAGAATATTGGCAAAGGAAATGAGGAATCAAAATGAGTTACTAAAAAAAAAAAAAAAAAAAAAAAAACTTACAGTGTCTAAAGGCAATTTCCATTAGATTTTAAGGGACACATGTTCAAAGCGAAAAGATAGAAAAAATAATAGTAATCAAGGTAAGCAGGAGTGACTATATTAATATTAGACAAAATAAGTTTTAAATCAAATACTCATACAAGGACATTTTAAATAAATAAAACAATTTTCTTTTGCAAGAATAGAAAATTCCGGGGACTAGCAGATGGAGTAATGGTTACGTCGCTGGACTCCCCCCATGTAGACCGCAGCAGGCTGACTCTCAGGCCCAGTGACTTAAAACTCACACTGGGCATGTGTCCATGCGTGCCTGCTCAAGATCCCGAGAAGAGAATGGAGGAGAAGAGATTGTGGTATGACCATCCCCCCGGGGAATGATTTCTCACTTTCTGTCTCTCTCTCTCTCTCTGTCTCTCCAGCCAGCACACGTACCTTATAGCAAAAATCTCTCTTTAAAAAAAAAAAAAAAGTAAAACATAATGTGAACTCAGCAAAAGAAAGTGTTAACAAAAACAATATGGATTGGCCTGGAAAGCAAACGTTGGCTCAAATAACTAAAGTACGATGTGATACAGTACAATTCCATTTGTACAGAGTTCAAAAATTGGTAAAACCAAGGATGCTGCTTAGAGAGTCACACAGAATGTAGAGTGGGGGGCAGTTAGTCTAGGAGGGTACCAAAGTGTCCTTTCAAGTTCTGGCAAATGGGTTTAAGAAATGAGTACATGGATGCTCATAATTAATCCTAGAGTTGTACATATATACATCTCCTACATGTGATATTTTGCAATTTTTAAAAAAAGATTTTTGCTATAGAGTGTGTGTGCTCACCGGAGAGACAGAGCGAGGGAAAGTGAGAAATCAACCCCTCCAGGGGAGATGGTCACACCGCATTCTCTTCTCCTCCATTCTCCTCTTGGGGTTTTTGATATGATGCACTCACACACTCCCAGCGTAAGTTTCGAGTCACTGGGTCTGAGAATCAAACCACGGTTAGCCACGGGGAGTCCAACACCTTCACCACCACGCCACCTGCTGGCCTGATATTTTGCAATGTTAAATAAGCGAATATACCCCCTGCCCCTAAAGAAAAGTGAGCTTTCTCTATGTTTTACTTCCCAGTTTCTGCTAGAAAATCCAAAAACAGCACAGTGATTACTTTCCAGGCTTCTTACTGAGGTGTTTTTTTATTTCCTTTCTTTCTTTTTCTCAAAATAGCATCTGCTCCACTTTCCCTCTCAGATCTAAGAGGGTTCCAAACCCTCCATTCCTCCAGGTGCTTTACAACCGTGAACCCAAACAGGCTCACACGGTAACGTCTGCTGGCAGTAATGCTTCTCCCGAGACAGAACAGTCACTGGACTATTCCGACTGTTCTTTTTATTTATTTTATTTTTATTATTGTTAAAAAAAAAAAAAAAAGAAAAGAAAACATCGCTATACATCATTTGGCTTGTAAAGAGAATTTACCCAATATGAAAAACATCTCAGACCAGTCCCAGCTGACTGCTTTTAACGACTTGTCAGAGCATAGTCATAAACCATGTGTATCTGGTAGAGTGTTAAATGTGTTGGAGACACTATTTGATATAAATATGATTATCATTCATAACCATCATCAGCACTTTCACCAAGAAAACCTGAATCATTTGGGATACCCATTTTTCATAACTTTTAAATCCCTGAAAATGAAACACAGACACACAGACAGGTATAATATTTAATCGAAATATATTTGTCTAATATCTACAAAGTGTGAACAATTGGTCTTAAGAAAGCAGACAAAAGGCACAAAATTAGTATTACTACAGAGAAGCAGTCATGCTACTTGGGTTTTATAAATATCATTGGAGTGGCACAGTAAAAAAAATTAAGCATTGAGCAAAAATCAAATACTTCATTTTTTTCCTTTTTATTCTGATCTTGTCTTCGACCTTCTCTGTAAAGGCCGAGGGCTTACACTGAGCTAGAACCATGAAACACTCAAGTAGGCTTTTTGTATATTTTAATCACAGTGGCTTTCTTGTAGAGTTTGGGTCAAACCAGAGAGGTGCACTTAAAAAAAATTCCACAGGAAATTCTTTGCTCTTTTCCCAAACTAAATACAAGATCGAGGCTGTGGTTGTGCATGTTTATATATGCGTGCGTGTACTTAACTCCTAAAGCCCTTTTTTCAATCACAAAAGTAGTAAAGTCTCCATATGATTTGTTTTCCGCTGTAAAAGAAGAAGCTTCTGAAAAATGACTAGTGCTTCAAGTGTGAGAAACTGTCAGAAATGCGACAAAAACTCCATGGTGGGGGGCCTGGCTCTCGGCTCTCCCAAGGTGCTCCAGCCTGGGAGACGCCAGCATCAGCTTTTATTTATTTATTTATGTTTAATTTGCCAAAGGGCATGTGCATCCTCAGAGAGAGAGAGAGAAAGGAACCCCGTGGGGGATGATCTCATGGCAATCCCTCCTCCGTGTCTCCTTTCAGGATTCGGGGCATGAACACACAAGTGCCCAGTGCATTTTGTTAAGTCACTGGGCCTGGGACTCAAACCGCATAGTGAGCCATTGGGGATCTCGTTGCCTTAACTGCCGTGCCACCGTCCGGCCCTGGCATCAAACTTGAACAGCTTCCTGCCTGTCCCCACCCCCCACCCAGCAGGAAATAGTCATTCATCTTTCTTGGATGTGGACGGATAAAACTTGGAGGTGGGGAAGGAAGTGACAGTCACAATAACCTTGAAATGACAGCCGTGTACCCTTGTACCAGCAACAAGCCACTTTCTGCCCATACGGCCACCGATGGGCCATGCCAAGTCACCTTGTTTTGAGAGGGCTTGACTAAGGGGGAATATCTCTCTGAGTGCAAAACATTTTTGGCAAAGTGAAAAATAGAAAACTTCAGACCTCCTTGATAAAAAGGAGCTCGTGACTACTCACAGCTCAGTGAGGGCGGTATTTACACGCGTAATCCTCAGCAACTGTGTGCGCAGTGCATGTGTGTGAACGTAGACAGGGTGTACACACACATGCCCCGAATGGCTCTTGAATAAATTCAATCCTGTAGCAGAGTTTGGGAGGGGGTGCATATTCCACAGCATCGAATTTCTCTTTCCGTTACCATTTCTTGGGTGCTAACGAGAGGTCTCGGCAAATGCCCACAGAATCTTGATACCACTTTAATTCCTACGAAAAACTATTTCAGAAAGCTCTGCGCCTCCACCCATCAGTGTGCTTTCCAGAGAGGACTGAAGTACACCCAGCCGTCACCCTGCAAGAGAAGGACAGAGGCGTTACAGGGAGACGCCCAGTGGGAAAAGGGGAAGAGAGGCTGTCCCCCAGCCTCCGGCATTCCCAGACAGCAGAGCAGAAGCCCAGGTCGCCCGCTGGTCTGCACGTCTGTCCTGTCCGACAGCTCACTCTCCAATCATAGTGGTGGCCTCACAATCCTGCCTCAGCCCAGCTGCTTCGCAGAGCCAGATGATCTTCCCATTTGGGCATTGCCTATATTTGGTCATGTGGGGAGGTTTCCTCCTGAAATGCCAAAATAGCAAGGCCATCTGGGCTCTAAATAAAACAGGGGCTTTGCTGGTTTACGGCAAGGAAGACTTCGTGGCAAAAGAACCCTGGGACAGTGGGACAAGAGAAAGGAGGGTCTTTGGATGAGTGGGGAGAGCAAAGATGAGGGTGTGTGCACGTGTGCAGTTTCTGCCAAAGCCCTGACAGCCCGGCAGCCTGCAGGGAGCAGACGCCCGCTCAGGCTGTCCTCAGCAGGCAGCGGTGGCAATAAACCAGCACACAGGAGACCCATTGCCCACCAAAGACCTGGAGAGGAAAAGGCAGGAGTCCGAAAGGTACGTGCAGCCTGGAGCTGGACCAGGAGGGAGTGCACGCCCCACGCAGTAACTGTCCTGGGGTGGGAGATTTTTATTCTGTACATGTCCCCAAGCTGGTTATGAACAAATCTGTTGTGAATATGATGGCCTTTATTAAACCTAAGGGGAAGAACGGTAAGTGGAGTTTCTTTTTCTGTTTCATTTTAAGAGAGATTTTTGCAACATGGCGCCTGTGCTCACCAGAGACGAGACAGAGAGACAGAAAGAGAGAAATCACCCCCAGTGGGGATGGTCACGCCGCAATCCCTTCTCCTCCATCCTCCTCTCGGGATTTTAGGCATGCATATGTACACACCCGGTGTGAATGTGAAGCTGCTGTCTGGGACTCGAACTGCACTAAACTACGTGGGAGTCCAGCACCATAACCATTATGCCATCTGCTGGTCTCTTTTTGTCATCTTTTTTTTTTTAAGAGGGGTTTTTGCTGTAGGACACGTGCCCTCCCCGGGGGACAGAGAGAGACAGAGAGACAGAAAGCGAGAAATCAGCCCCTGGGGGAATGGCCACACTGCAATCCCTTCTCCTCCATTCTCCTCTCAGGATTTTGGGCATGCATGCCTGGCATGAGATTTAAGCCACTGGGTCTGGGACTCAAACTACAGTTGATAACATTGACTACATAGGAGTCAAGTGACGTCACTATTACACCATCTGCTGGTCCCAGTAAGTGGGTTGTTTGTTTGTTTGTTTTCTGTTTAATGTGCAACATTCTGCAGAAGCTAGCCAAACTACTAGTTGTCTCAGAGAGACCAATCCACCTCACAGAAGGATCCTTTGAGGGCTTACCCCACCCAGGGTCCCAAGAAGGCAGAGTCTTCCCCTCAGCCCTCCTGTCCAGAATCTGACCTTGACGTCCCCTTTCAGTCCTCGGTTCCTGACCCTGGAGCATGGTGGGGCGCCCTGTCCTGACCTCCACGTTGCTGTGCTGCCAGCTCACCCCGCAGCCTTGTGCTTGGATGGAGAGACCCATCCTCGTGGCCCCAAGTCCGAGCTCAGCACACTGGGCTACAGCCAGCCCCACATGTGGCAACTGGCTCCTGCTGCTGACCTTTGAACTCCTCAACACCACGCACGTAATCGGGTTTCTCATGAGAATCCTGGTTTCTGGCTCTCTGTGAAGACTTACGGTCAGGCCGTGAGCACTTGGAGGTGAGTGGCATCTACCCCCTTGAGATATGGGCCCTCATGTCTTCCTAGTCCGCCCCAAGGCTGCCAGGCTCCTGAGGACTCGTGCATTTTCATCATCTCCAGTCTGGTCCTCAGCACAGTTCCCAATTACTCCACAAACAACTTTAAGAGCATAGGCACCTTGGGGACCAGAAGATGGTGTAATGGCTATGTCACTGGACTCCCATATAGTTGACCATGGTTTGAGTCCTGGGTCTGGCAGCTTAAAACTCATGCAGGGCGCATGTGCGTGCATGCCCAAAATCCCGAGAGGAGAATGGAGGAGAAGGGATTGAGGTATGGCCATCGCCTCTGACTTCTTTCCTGTCTCTTTCTTTGTCTCTGTCTCTCTGGAGAGCACACATGCCCTATAGCAAGAAAATCTCTCAAACAAAAAAGCACAAGGGCCTCAACTGGGCACACGCCTCAAGGCAACTGGGCACACGCCTCAAGGCGGGCAGTCCTGTGGGTATTACTCTTGCCTTCAGTGTCACTTTCCTGGGTGACAGCGGCAGCGTTTCAGCAGAGGACTCCTGCTGGACGTCCAGTTCATTTAGTCCCCAGGAGCCGGAGCCCTGAGGGCAGTCCTCAGTCCCGAGGATCCCGCCCACCCAAGTGTGGACACAGTGTGGGGTGCGAAAGGGATGGGGTCAGGAATGGCTTTCTTTAAGTGGAAGTTTCAAGGTCTGCAATCTCATTGCTTTCCCTCCCTGGAAGGCTGACGGGCCTTTCTGACCGAGGAAGACCAGAGGAACGTCAATGGCTCCATTCTGCCCCCGAGATGGTTTTGGGCCTTGAGATATGATCATGAACGTCACTGCAGAAAAACTGTCCTGAAGCCTGGGCCAGACCAGGAGCAGACCATGATGCCCCCAACCCATCGCAGGCATTCCCTCCTCTGCCCGTCTGTCCTCCTCCATCCAGACTACCGGGCGAGCAGGCCAGCCACTCGGCCCTCTCCCTCAAGACGGGCAGTGGCCGACTGACCTCCTGAATGAAGTACTTGGGCTGCCACGGTGTGCGGAGGCTCTCCCGCTTCCGTTCCTCCACCCGCTGTTTCTCCTCCAGGCGCCGCTTCTGTTCGGTGGCTGCATCAATGTCCCCCAGCCGCAGGAATCGAGTCACCTCCTTCCAGAGGTTCCTGGGGATGCACGGAGGAGCGGAATAATCAGGTGGAGCCCCCCAGTCAGGCCTTCCCTGGGTATGGTGGCTGATCCCGTGACCTGGCAGGCCCTGAGACTAGCAGTTGAACACAGAGCTCCCTGGCTCCACGTCTGTGCTATTTCTTTTTCTTTTTTCTTTTAAAAAAAACTTCTTGAGACCAGCAGTTGGTGTAATGGCTATGTCTCTGGACTCCCATATAGCCGACCGCGGTTCGAGTCCCAGACCAGGTGGCTTAAACTCACACCGGGTGCATGTGCATGCTCAGGATCCTGAGAGGAGAATGGAGGAGAAGGGACTGCCACATGGCCATCCCCCCGGGGGGTGATTTCTCGCTTTCTGGCGAACACACATACCCCATAGAAAAAACTCTCCAAAAAAAAAAAGAGAAAGAATTTCTTATTGAATTTTATTTGTTATTATTCTTGTTTAACTGGCCAGAGAAAGACACAGAGAAAGAGAGAGAGTTTGAAAGCAAGTAGCGGTAGTAGGGAGGATTCTACCAGTAACACTCCAGACCACCCCAACCAGAGCTGACACTTCTGTGGCAAGTCCCACACATCTAGGCTTTACATAAATATTATCTTCCCCTTGCAGCCACCGCACGGCACAAATGCTATGCACCTTCTATATTACTCAAGCTAGAACGCACACGCACACGGGAGAGAACAAGAGGCCTGCCGGCCCCATCCTTTTTCTTTTCTTTTGTTTTTTTAAGATGGTGTTTCACCATCTCAGCCTCCCAGGTACCTGAGACTGCAAGTGTGTGCCATCACGCTGACTCTTTTAGAGAGGAACAGGCCAGCCTCGAACTCAAAATCCTCCTTCCTCAGCCTCCCAGTAACTAGGACTACAGGCACATGCCACCACATTTGGCTTTCAGGTTGGGCTGGGAATTGAACCCGGGTATCCTGTGTGGCTCCTCAAGCTGCAGACAGCGGCATATCTGTTTTTTGTTTCTGTTTTAAGTCATGTATTTCTTTGTTTTAACGTAACCAGAGTGAGAAAGAGAAAGCGAGAAAGCAAGCCGCCAAGCCCTGTGGGAGTCCAGCCCCTTACCCACCACGTCTGCTGGTTTCCAGACAGCAGCATCATCTTTTTATTTATTTATTTATTTTTGAGAGGTTTTTGCTATAGGGCGCGTGCGCTTACCAGACAAACAGAGAGAGACAGAAAGCAAGAAATCACCCCCCAGGGGTGATGGCCACGCCGCAATCCCTTCTCCTCCATTCTCCTCTCGGGATCTTGGGCACGCACGCACACGTGTCTGGCATGAGTTTTAAGCCACCAGGTCCGGGACGTGAACCGCGGTCGACTACGTGGGAATCCAGTGACATAGCCATTACGCTAACTGCTGGTTCCCCAGACAGCAGCATCTTAAAAGTGTGCACCATGCACCACTACGGCTGAGCACGGTATCATAGCTATTTCTTTCTTTTTTTCATTTCTTCCTTCCCTTCTCTCTGCCCTTTCCCTCTTACTTTCTTTTTGCTAGAGAGTGCATGTACCCGCCCGAGAGATGCAGAGAGACAGAGACAGAGAGAGAGAGAGAGCGAGGGAAAGGGAGGAAGTACTCCCCCCATGAAGAATGGTCACATTGCAATCCCTTCTCCATTTCTTCCTCCCTTAGGGTTTTAGGCACATGCCCACGTGCCCCGTGTGTTTCTCAAGCTGCCACGGCTGGGACTCAAACCGCAAGGTCAGCTGCAGGGGATCCAGCTACCTTAACCACCAAGCTATGGAGCCGGCCCCACACGTGTTGTTTCTAGAGACCACATGCTTATAGGTGAACACAGGGGCTGGCAAGGGTTTTCTATAAAAGGCCAGACAGGCCATAGGGTTTTGGTTGCAACTCCTTAACTCTGCCGCTGCAGCAGGGCAGCCGTAACCACATGTGAACACGTGAGCATGGCTGAGTTCTGATAAAGCTTCATTTATGAGAACAGCTGGATCTGGCCCAGGGGCCAGAGCTGGTTGATGCCCTAGACCAAAAAAAAAACACAAATAGCATACTCCTGAAAATCCTGTGTGTACCTGTGTAAGTATCACTGTAAGGGGCCGAATCAAGTTCACACCATAAGAGTGGATATACAGAGGCTGGGGCCAGCAGGTGGTGTGTGCGTGCCCAAGATCCCGAGAGGAGAATGGAGGAGAAGGGATTGCAGCATAGCCATCCCCGGGGTTGGGGGGGGGGGGGGTTCTTGTTTTCTGTCTCTCTGTCTCTCCAGCAAGCACAAATGGTCTATAGCAAAAATCTCTCTTAAAAAAATGAATAAATAAAAGAGTCTGGCATAGGCCCAGTCGTGGTGGCATTATCAGGAGGGCACTGGTATACGAGGCTGGGGCCACTGGGATCCCAGGCCAACCTGAACACATGAGGAGCAGTGGGGTGCACCTAGAACCCTGGCCCCCGGGAAGCTGGGCAGAGGAAGCAACCCTGAGACCCGGTCACAAGTGCCTGTCTCAGGCCAGCTCCACAGCACAGTGGTGAAGCACTGTGTAAGGAAAGCCATGGTTTTCCATGGCTGACCAGGATCGGAATCCCAGCCTCAGCCACTTGAAAAACACATCACACACAATGCATGCGCATACCCTAAATCCTGTCAGGATGGAGAAAGGGAATGCCCTGCGGCCACACCCGACTGAGAGGGGCTTTCTCTTTCCCCAGCTCTAGGGAACACACATTCCCATAGGCCATAAAAAAAAAAACAAAAGTGCCAGCCTCTCCCCTCTCCCACCTCTGGGAACACATGCATGTGTGAGCTCTTTAATGAAAAAGAAAGACAGAAAGGCTGGCAGGTGGCATGCTGGTTAAGGGCACTGGATTCCCACATGGCCGACCATGGTTAGAGTCCTGGATCTGGTAGCTTGCTTTCTCTCTCACTCTCTCTCTCTATCTCTGCCCCTCTCTGTTCAAATTCTAATAAATAAATAAAGGTAAATAAAATAATTCTTTTAAAAAAGAGAGAAAAAAAGAAAAAGTCCGTCATGGACTATCTGCACTCTGTCGTCACAGATTGAAGGCAGACAGGATGTACTCCTAGCAAATCCAAATCCGTAAGGAAGCCCCCTTCCATCAGCTGAGCATTGAGAGGCTTCTCCGTCCCTCCAGTCCTGCACTGAGAACCACGAGGCCGACTCACCTGGACTCCATGGGCCCCTGCTTCTCGAGCGGTCTGATCCTCTTAGGGTACACGGGCAGCGTGGTGGTGTCGATGACCTTGGACTCCCCGTTGCTGTAGGTGAACTCTAGCGTGCCATTCCACTCCCCGTGGGCTTTACAGACAATGGTGTTGGTCGGGTTGTGCTTCACTTCTGCTGTGACCCTGAATGAAAGAATACGTCAAATGAACACACTTCATAAGGTCATCCAAACAAAGGCTTCAAGTGGTCCCTTGCTATGGAGAGATTTTTCTATGGGGTAGGGAGGAGAGATTATTTTTGCAGGTTCGTTCAAAATCCCAGCTCTTAAAATATGATTGAAAAGCTCTAAAACAGAAAAAGAAGGTATTTGTGGAAAAACTGGTGAGAACACCCATAAATGAGTTAATAGTAAAGGACTAATGTAAGTTTCTTTTATTATTTTTTTTTGAGATGTTTTTCACTATAGGGCACGTGCGCTCGCCAGACAGAGAGACAGAGAGACAGAAAGCGAGAAATCACCCCCCAGGGGGGATGGCAATTCTGCAATCCTTTCTCCTCTATTCTCCTCTCGGGATCTTGGGCACGCACACACACACACGCCCAGCATGGGTTTTAAGCCACCAGGTCCAGGATGTGAACTGCGGTCGACTACGTACGTGGGAGTCCAGTGACACAGCCATTACGCTAACTGCTGGTTCCCAAGGACTAATGTAAGTTTCTTAGTTTTGCATTGACTATGTATGTTCTCACTGGAATGGAAATCAAGCTATTTACACACAAAAACAAATACACCCTCTTTTTCTTAAGAGAGGTTTTTGCTATAGGGTGCGTGTACTCGCCAGAGAGACAGAGAGAGAAAGCAAGAAATCATTCCCCAGGGGGCATGGCCATGCTGCAATCCCTTCTCCGTTCTCCTCTTGGGAACTCAGGCACGCACGCACATGTGCCTGGCATTGAATTTTAAGCTGCCGGGTCTGGAACTTGAACCACAGACAACTACATGGGAGTCCAGCAATGTAACCATTACGTCATCTGCTGGTCCCTTCCCCAGCATCTGAGGGGAAAGAAACAGTCCAGATCTCACTGATGCATGATACGGAATTGGGGAGTTACTGGAGCCGACTCAGCGTTAAATGGGGGGCTCTCTGCCAACATCTGAGTCTACACAGCAAGTCACTGCAGAGCAGACACACAGGCTATGGTCTCAGAAGGGAGAAACGGTAAGTCTGTTGTAACAAAGAGAAGTGCCTTGGGTTGTGACCAGCAGATGGCATAACGGTTACATCGCTGGACTCTCACATAGTCAACTGAGGTTCGAGTCCCAGAACCAGCAGCTTAAAACTCACACTGGGCACATGTGTGTGCGTGCCCAAAATCCCAAGAGGAGAGTGGAGGAGAAGGGATTACAGAATGGCCATCCCCCACTGGGCAGTCTGGTTTCTTCCTGTTTCTCTCTGTCTCTCCAGCGAGCACACACACGCCATAGCAAAAATCTCACTCTAAAAAAGAAAAAAAACAAGAAGTGCCGTGGCCAGTCAGTGGTAGGTGGCAGTGAAGGAGTGGGATCCCACAGAGCCAACCATGTGGTTTGCGTCCAGGACCTAGTAGTTTGAAAAACACACCAGGCACTTGTGCGTGTATGCCCCAAATCCCAGAGGGAGGGAGAGATGGAGGAGGAGAGACTGCAGTGGTGCCCCTCCCTATGGTGGGGGGCAGAGGGGCTTCCTTTCTCACTTTCCCTCTCTGTCTGTCTCTTGTGAGCACATGGACACATTTTTTTTAATGTAAAAAGAGATGTACTACTTATTCTTTGGTTGTGTTCTGTAGACACATTACTAAAATTCATGCCATGACAGTACAGTGGGGAAGGACCCTCAGGAAAACTGGTGAGTGGGGAACAGGGGCACCTCTTCTGAGAAGAGCCTGTCCACAACCGTGTCTTGATTTTTTTTTTTTTGAGAGAGATTTTCACTGTAGGGCGCGTGCGCTCGCCAGACAGACAGAGAGAGACATAGAGACAGAAAGCGAGAAATCACCCCCCAGGGAGGATGGTCACGCCGCAATCCCTTCTCCTCCATTCTCCTCTCGGGATCTTGGGCACGCACGTACACGCGCCCGGCGTGAGTTTTAAGCCACCGGGTCCGGGACACGAACCGCGGTCGACTACATGGGAGTCCAGCGACATAGCCATTACGCTAACTGCTGGTTCCCAACCGTGTCTTGATTTTCAACTCATCCCGATGCAGGGACTCCGCCTTCAGATGGAGGAAGGGGACCAGCGCCGGGCGCAGGCAGTGGCGGCCTACCTGTGCACCTTCCCCCCGTAGAATGGCTTCGTGTGGAACACCACGGTGGCCGAGTACCCGGTCTGGGCGCAGCTGATGCTGACCTTTCCTCCGAGCTCCACCCACGGGATGGTGAGGATGGACCGCGCGTAGGCGCTCGGCAGGGTGAACACGTACTCCTCCCCGTGCTCCAGCAGCCTCAGCACACCTCCGGGAGAGAGGAGGGCACGTCAGGCGGGGTGGGAGACAGGCGGGCCACCGGAGACGCTGCACGACAAACCCCAGGGCCACCGGCTGCAGGCACCACCTCTCCCACCTCTGCAGGGTCCACCACTTGCTCCCCGGAGCTCTCTGCACGCCAGGAACCGCCAAGAGCACAGCAGGAAACACGGCAGAGAGGAGAGAGGTGGGCCTATGAGCCACCGCACACACACACATGTGCACACACACATGCACACACACACACACAAACACCTGGAACTGGGGTGAAGGTGTAAGGAGAGGTGCCAGGTGCCACAGAGACCTCCATCAGGAGGAGCTAACCAAGAAGGCTTTCTGAGGAAGGGACGCTGGAGCTGAAAAGAGGTGAGGACATGATGAGGAAGGCCGCAGTCATTGGGGAGTGTGTGTGCAAAGGCCCCGTGGTAGGCGGGAGCCTGGTGAGCAAGCCGAGGCTGAGAAAAGGGCCCTCATGGGAGGGGAGGTGCTGTGCACAGGTCTGGGAGCCGACCAGGCCAGCAGAGGCCAGACCTTTCTAAACTTCTAGAAAGGACCTTGACGAGTTTTGCCTTTCTCCATGGTCCTCAGCAACGCAGGGCAGACACTGCCAACGTGGGAACATGGAACTTACCACCCACCCACCTCCAGGTCAGGGTTCTCCACTCCAGATCCAAGAATTGGGCTTGAAGGGCCGGAACCCTCTTGAAACCACATGGAATTCAGTAGGTTTGACTTTTTCTTTGGAAACATCAAGGTCTCAGAGATCACCCTCTAAAATGCATAAAGCCCCCAGGGCTGCCATGCAGTTTGTGTTCAGAGGCCCCACACGGGTGGGCAGAAGCGCCAAGAACCAGGCTCTGCTGCTTCCAAGACTACTCTGTGGCGGGCGGGCCCCCTGGCGACACGCCCTGCTCCAGGACGCACATCAGGCAGGGCACGGTGACGCTCAGGGAGGAGAGCTCTGTCCTCTGGCCAGAAGTACGTGGCCCCCGTGGTTAGCGACGACCCTCCCTGGGCATGTAGAGTAGGGCCAGTGGCTCCTGTGTGAGCATTCTGGTGGTCACACTCTCCTGGGGGGTCCCACAGTCTCCTCTGAGTTCACTCTACACAGCACCCTTTTTTTTTAAAAGAAGGATGAGCAGACCACATCTCCGAGAGCTTAAGTAACTGGCCTGGGCGACACTTCCCTCTGAGGCAAGACAAGCGTCTAGATCAATTAGAACTGGAGTTTGCCCAGGAGAGAGCGAGAACGGAGGAGGGGGGGAGGTGGTCCTGTTGTGCAGATTAGCCGGGGGAGTTGGAGGAGGGACGGTGCTCATTTGCACAGCGTCCTCACGGTCCCCGTTAGTTTCTAAAGTCGATACCAAGATGCGTTCGAGTATAATTCAATTTATCCTTGAAAATACCTTTAGCAGCCCATGAGCTACAGTGGACAGAGCACACTAGACTTGTCCAGAGCTGCCTTGTTCTCAGTTGAGTCCCGCAAAGTTGGTTTTCTTTTCTTTTCTTTTCTTTTTTTTTTGGAGAGGTTTTCACTATAGGGCGCATGCGCTCGCCAGACAGACAGAGAGACAGAGAGACAGAAAGTGAGAAATCACCCCCCAGGGGGGATGGCCACACTGCAATCCCTTGTCCTCCATTCTCCTCTCAGGATCTTGGGCACGCACATGCGCCCGGCGTGAGTTTAAGCCACCGGGTCCGGGACGCGAACCGCAGTCGACTATGTGGAAGTCCAGCGACATAGCCATTACGCTAACTGCTGGTCCCTTCACGAGATGTTTTTAGTAGAATTTTCAAACAGGTAGAAAAAAGTTAAAGGAGCAAAAATGCTTTTATTCATTGCCAGGGATTGTGTTAGAGGTAGAGACAGACAGAAGGCAGAAAGCACCCCACGTGGGGTACGGCCACGCTACGATCCCTTCTCCTCCATTTCTCCACATGTGGGGCACATATGCACATACGCCGGGCATGTTTCATGCTGCCAGGACTCTAGACAGGATAGCTATGTGGGATCTGGCTGCCTTAACCACCAGGCCATGGGGTCAGACCCTGAAAGCAGCAAATTCTAATTCTGCTTCCAGGCCGGCTATCTGACAGCCTCAGGAGAGGTGTTCAGTGGCTTCTCACGCACGGCACTGCATGTGGGTCCGGGCCTGGGAGGAGTGGATTAAAGGTCCCTGCCAGGCCCCTGTGGAAAGTGGGGGCGGTAAGATCCTGAGGCATTAGAGGCCTACCCTACAGAGACACAGACACTGGACAACTGTCAATGAGAAGGTGAAGATGTGGTTGACCTTGTGGACAGTGGGGGAGTAGGGCTAAGAGGACTTCACCACTTTTCTTTCTTCTTTTCTTTTATAAAGAGATATTTGCTATAAGGTGATGCACTTGCCAGAGAGACAGAGAGAGAGAACATGAGGAATCACCTCCTAGGGGGATGGCCACACTGCAATCTATTCTCCATTCTCCTCTCAGGATTTTGGGCACGCATACATGCCTGGTATGAATTTCGACCCTCCAGGTCCAGGACTAGAACCACAGTCAGACAGGTACCCTGGTGGGGTCCCATCACGCCATGCCCCACCCCACCAGCCCTGCAGCCAGCACACACACACCCAGTATGGTCACGTCAGCCTGGCCTCCAAGCTCCCAGTCTCCCCCGTGGCTTCTGACACTGCAGAGTGGAGCCCTCCCGCCTGCACCACTGCAGCTGGGCCCTAACCAGATTTCCTCTAGCCCCCCGCTCTGCTGACCACTGCTGTCAAGGTCACCAGTGACCTCCAAGGTCCAAAATCCAGGGATGGACCCTCAGTCCTCATCTTCCAGGAACTAACCCACTGACCACTCTTCTCCTCCCTGAGAGCCTATCTCCCCTCGGCTCACTGGGAACACACTGTCCACTGCACCGACTTCCCAGGCCACGTCCGCCGCCTCCTGGACTGGTTATTCATCGTGAGGGCTCGTGAAAGCCGGGGGAGTACAGGGAACGGGGCTTACGCGACAGTCTTATCGTCTCGGGCCTTGCATTCCAGGTTTGTACCTCAGCCAGCTCCCCCAGAGCTCCGCCTTGTAGATGCACCCCACCTGCTGACATCTAGACCACAACACAACTGACTGAGGCCTGAGGTCTCCCTCTAGACCAGCCATTACGCCAACTTGCTGGTCCCAGCATGAGTTTTAAGCCACTGGGTCTGGGACTTGAACTGCAGTCAACTACATGGGAGTCCAGCGATGTGACCAGTACGCCACCTGTAGATCCTGAAAAATGTTATCTCTTGGAATTTTCAAGAAGCCATATAATCCCTACAACTGAAAGCTGAATTTTGTGTCTAGTTGGTTTTTTTTGTTTTTTTCTGGAAGAGAGTCTCAAAGGGATTTTTGACTCAAAAAAGTTGAAGAAGCACTAACACAGACACTTGCATTTAACAAGGATTATTATAGGTTTCTTCAAACAATGAATAAACTTCATTCACAGCTATTTGCTAAAATAGGAGCGTGCGACCCATCAGCGCGGCGATTATCCTGCGTTCTGGCTTCAGAATTTCTAGCAGAGTCAAAAGATTTGCCTTGGGAATTTTTATGAGCAGGTTTTGAATAGACAGCACTATTATCCTCATTGACTGTGAGCCAGAACACCAGAAAGAGCGAATAAAAAAATGTGTTTTCACAGATCGGGAGCCAACTCTAGCGCTCGCTCGAGGCTGGGAGGGAAAGTGTGGGTGAGGCCGGGCACACACATGCTGGCGTACGAGGACGCAGGTGGGCAGCTGGTTAGGCCAACACCTACATCCCATCTCCTCTGTCACCTTCGCCCCACTGGGAAGTGAGAGACCTAGACCAAAAATAACAGAACCCGCCCCTCGTTCCCACTCACTCCCAATGCCAAAAGGAGTGAGCAATCAGCTCTACACACAAAATGACCCATCGCCTGTCAGGTTCCCGACATCCCGGGGTCGAGCAAACCCCATCAGCAGCCGTGCTTACCTTCCCCTATCATGGAGACCCCCACGGACATGCCCATGAACTTGCTTTTGGTCCATACGTGAGTGTTGACGCACAGTCTCTTCTCCTTGCACTCGCAGTAGAAGCAGGAGATGGGCGGGTGGTGGGACACTTGCTCGGCCACAAACCTCAGTTTGTAGCTCTTAGCAGGGTCATCGGCTGCCAGGTGTTCGTGACAGCTGGCGGGAGACGGGGGAGCAGTCCTCCTTGGCTTGACCTTCTCCCTGGGCACTTCCCAGGAGCAGTGGAACGTCTCGCCAATGATGGGGTTGTAGGGCTTCTTGGCCAGGGCCCCCTTGCGGCCCTCGTGGAAGGCTGTGAGGTAATACTCCACAAAGCTAATGACTCTCTCCTCCGGCGTGGCCCCAGCCGTGATGGCCAGCAGCAAGTCGGGGTGAGCCAGGAAGTCCGCGTACATCTCCAGCAAGGAGCGCTTCTCCAGGATGAACGTGGGGAGCACCACCTGCATGGGGTGGGGGGGACACAAGGTCAGTCCGGAGTCCCTGCAATGACGCCAAGAGGCTGAAGGGAAACCAGAAAGGCTGCAACCACTGTCAAGCAAATTCCTAATGGCTCAAGCCCGGGAACGGTTTCTTCTGATCAGTGCACAAATGAGAAACCAGCGGAAACGCTAGCAAAGAAACCGGAGGCAGCGGTTGTGGCACCCATGTTGCCCCAAGCATTGGGAGGGATTGCCTCCCTCGACAGTCTCTGTCTCTGCCCGCACTGCCGGGCTCTGCCAACACACAGCCCCGCTGCTCTCCAGCGGGTAAAGAGAAGAGAAAACGGTTGTCAGGGCGTCCCTGTGTTCTTCCCCCATCAGGCACAAGCAGAGGGGCTTCTCAGTGCGCTCCCCCAAACAGGGACGCTGGGATTCATCTCCCGGACCCAATCCCACCCAGTGTCTCTTTGGAGAGCTCTGTTAGAAGATGGCATGTCAGTCCCGACGCTACAGAGGCAGGGTAGGACCGTACCAGGGGCCCGGGAGAAGCCGCCCAGTGGCCGAATGTCCACAGAGCTGCCACGGAGAAGAGGGTCACAGCAATTCTATGTGTGGAAGTTACTCCACAAGGCTGGGCCAGAAAAAGGAAAAAAGTAGAAGTTTAAAAAAACAAAAACAAACAAACAAACAAAAAAACAGGCTAGTACTTGACAGACAGAATCTTCTGGTAAAAGGGGCTGTCACTTGGTTTGTTATGGGGCCCATGACTGATGATGACTTTGTCAAGGATGGAATAAAGAGACTCCTAGTCGATCCAAAGGGGACCCAGTGATTGCTCAGGGGCTCTACAACCCCAGATGCCTATAACCCAATCACTAGTCATTTAACGCAAATGAAGGCCTTTTTTTTTTTTTTTTGAGAGAAAGAGATTAATTTTTGCTATAGGATGTGTGTGCTCACTAGAGAGACAGGGAGAGACAGAGAAACAGAAAGTGAGGAATCACCCCGTAGGAGGAATGGCCATGCCACAATCTCTTCTCCAGTCTCCTGTTGGGATTTTGGACATATACGCACATGCGCCTGGCATGAGTTTTAAGCTACCAGGTGTGGGTCTTGAACCACAGTCAACTCTGTGGGAGTCCAGTGACATAACCATTACACCACCTGCTGATCCCTAGGCCTTACTTCTTAAGGCCGTTCTGACCTGGGAAGCAGGTAACTCATTACTACTGCTGTTCTGTAAAGGGAGAAGGGAGAAGGGAGAAGAAACGCAAAGGGCAAAATGTGAATCACTAGCCAACAGAAGTGAAGAAGAGATGTGAATCCACTGTATTATTTTTGCAACTTTAGTACACATAGGAAATGTTCAAAGTAAAATGCTGGAAGAAAAACAAAAAAGGCTCTATGGGGATACGGTACTTGAGAACACACCACTTTTCCAAGACGACCCTCCCGAAACTGTAGACTCAGGGAATGTAGGCTCCTGGCAAACATCGAGTCCCACCCACCAGGTATGTATTCTGCACTGCAAGTGATGCTGTGGGGCCAGGGGTTCCAGCCCCCACCACCATTCCCCATGAGAGAATCTCTCTTGTTCTCTGTCTCTCTCTGATGAGTATGCATGTCTGCGGGCAAAAATCTTTAAAAATAAAAATGATGTCGAGGCTTTGTCCGAGCTGGAAGAACGTATATAGAAAACCTGAAATTACTATTTCCTCTTTCGTCTCTATTTTTTTTCCTTTTTTTTCTTTTTTCCAGATTTTTGCCATAGTGTGTATGTATGCACTCACCAGAGAGAGACACACGAAGAGACACAGAGAAAGGGAAGTTGAAAAATCACCCCCCAGGAGGATGGCCATGCCACAATCTCTTCTCCTCAATTGTCCTCTTGGGATTTGGGGTATACACGCACACACACACACACACACACACACACACACACACACATCTGGCATATTTTTCAAGCTGCTGGGTCTTGGGCTTGAACCATGAATTTGCCCATGTCGGATCCAGCACCTGAACCACCAGCCACCAGCTAGCCTCCTCTTCCATGTCTTGTTGGAATGCTACGTTGGTATTTGTGGAGGATAGCAGGTCTGGTCTGATTTCTCTCACACAACCTCTCCACCTGTCCCCACCCTGCTTTGGGACTCATTTGCAGATAAGCCACTTCTTCATGCTTCTTGGGCGGCAGACGCCAGGGACATGCAGCCAAAGTGGTGAGCACTAACTGGGCTGTCTGCCCCCGACAGAGGGTGAGGCTGGCCCGAGGGCTCAGATTGAGCATCCAGACGCCTGAAATCGCTGCGGCAGGTTTATTTATGAGCCATCAATAAGACTGCCTTGCCTCCCATTAACATTATTAAGACAATGAACTACCTGGGGGGAAGGTAAAAAGAAGATCTGCCCTAGGGACTTGGATATCAACTAATTACATTGAAAGTTGCATCAATCTAGAAATAAACAATCTTTGAGTTGGGCTCTTAGCCTCTTAGAAATTTGAAATAAATCATCACTCACCAAGGAAGGTAAAGGAAACTCAGAACAGTGACAGGTCCCAGCTGGCAGCATGGTGGTGAGGGCAGCTGGATCCCACAAGGTTCACTGCGCTGTTGGAGTCCCAGACTGGTAGCTTAAAAACATGCAGGAGGGCTCCAGCAGGCGGCATAGTGGTTAAGGCACTGGACTCCCACGTGGCTGACTACAGTTTGAGTCCTGGACCCAGTGGCTCCAAACTCATGCCAGGCACGTGTACATGCATGTCCAAAATCCCCAAAGGAGAATGGATGACAGGGATTGTCATCAATTCCCATGGTGACCATCTTCCTTGGGGGGTGATTTCTTCCTTTCTGTCTCTCTGTCTCTTTCTGGTGAGCATATGTACCCTATTGTAAAAATCTCTCTCTCTAAAAACACACAAACAAGAAAACAAACAAAAACACAAATATGTGGGCATATGTGCATGCGTGCCCCAAATCCTAAGAAAATGAAGAAGGGATTGCAGTGTGATCTTACCCCCTGGGAGGGTGATTTCCCCAACCCCCTCACCTCTGGTGAGCACATGCAATTATAGAGCAAATTAATAACAACAATAATAAAGTGATAGTCCCCTCCCCACAGCGAGCACGGCAATGTTCTGCAAAGGAAGGTCCAAAGCAGGTACAACTTTCTTCCGGGAAACATCACTTAATGACCTAGGGGACCGTCTCCATGGCGCTCTATCCTTCAACTGGCAAACGAACCTGGTGCACACAAATATGTAGACGTACCTCAACAACCCACTGAGGTTAATTTAAATGTTTTAAGGAAACATGGGAAGTACACACAAGTCCAACCTATCAGATAAGGGGTAGGCAGTTCACACTGCCACAGGCCCCTTTACCTTTCCCCTGGGATTAATTAATATTTATAAGATAATATAATATTTAATAACCTCATTTATTCCCATCCCATGCTGTCTGGAACGTCGTATGAGACAAGCATTAAAATGTTTGGGGGTGAGGGAGAGTACCTGTGAGGTGAGGGACAGTGAACATGTACGGGTGTGCATGGGATGCAGTAGGATCTATATGGTGAGGGTGTGTGCAGGGCGGGGAGGGTGCACATGGGGAGGGTGTGCGTGAGATGGGGTAGGGGTGCCTGCACACACCCTCACCATGTACACCCTGCCCCATCCCCCGCACACCCTCACCAAGTGCACCATCCGTCACCCCACAGATACCCTCCTTCACCCTGTGGGCACACCCCCCACTCCACATACACCCTCTCTAACCACCAGCAGGTTTGTTTCCCTGTATGGACAATGACATCTGTCCTCTGGGACTAGCCATTAGAGCTCCACCACGCCTCCCCCTGCTCTCTCTCTGGCCGCTGTGCCACAACTACTTCTACAAGCCACCGTTCACCTTCCTTAGAGCAGCAGCTCCCATCTTTCCTGGCACCAGGGACCAGCCTTGTAGAGACAATCCCTTCATAGACCAGGGGTGAGGGGGTTGGTCCTGGGGTGACCCATGCACACTACATCCACCGCTCACCCCATTTCCAACACTACCACGTTGCATTGTACAGTGAAACCACCACACCACATCCGGGTTCACGCTCCACGAGAACCCAGCACCAGCACTGACCCGACAGGAGGCGGAGCCCAGACGGCAATGTGTGAGATGGGGAGTGGCTGCAAACACAGAACCTCATGCCCTTGCCCACCACCCATCCTCTGCCAGGCCATGGACTGGCACTGCTCCACAGCCTGGGGCCCGGGGACTCCTACCTTAGAATACAGCAGGAAACAGAACACAGGATCTTGAGTTTCCTTTATCACCTCACGACTTTTCTTTATTTTTTTAAATTTTTTTTTTTTTTGGAGAGGTTTTCGCTATAGGGCATGTGCACTCGCCAGACAGACAGAGAGAGACAGAGAGAAAGAAAGCGAGAAATCACCCCCCAGGGGGGATTGTCACGCCGCAATGCCTTCTCCCCCATTCTCTTCTCGGGATCTTGAGCACACACGCACACGTGCCCGGCGTGAGTTCTAAGCCACCGGGTCCGGGACGTGAACCGCGGTCGACTATGTGGGAATCCAGCGACACAGCCATTACGCTAACTGCTGGTTCCCCACCTCACGACTTTTCTGACACCCTCCTACCCTTGTAGAGCAGCCGCTGTGGCAGAGATGCAGAGGCGAGGCTCTGGCTCCACGAGGGAGCATTTGTGTGAAAACAGTCTTTGGACAATGGACCTGGGGGACTAGCAGATGGTGTAATGGTTATGTCTCTGGATTCCCACATGGCCGGCCACAGTTTGAGTCTTGGATCTGGCGGCCTAAAACTCACACCAGGTGCATGTGTGTGCATGACCAAAATCCCAAAAGGAGAATAGAGAAGGGATTGTAGCATGGCCATCACTCGCCCCATGGAGGGTGATTTCTCATTTTCTATCTCTGTCTCTGTCTCTCCAGTGACTGCACGTATCTTTATAGCAAAAACTCTCAAAAAAATTGTACCTGGAATATGATACTTGAAAGCATTCTGATCCACCCCACTCTCCTCCTCCAGTCTCGCCACAGAGAGAAGACAGTGAACAGGGGAGGCATGAGGACAGAGACCAAACAGAAACCCTGGGGCAGAGCCAGGGGGACTCACCACCCTACCTTGGTCAGATCCATTCCAAGTTTGAGCTGTGAAATAAGGTGGAGGATTACACTGCGTTGGTCCTCCATGACACCCAGTTCTGTCTCTTCCTTATCTTCATTGTCGCTTTTCTCATCTTCGGACAAAACCACTTCAGGGCCTGAGTTTGGCTAAAATGAAATCAGTAAGATCACCAGCTGGTTGGCTGTAGAAGAAGTTAGAAATACAGCATTTGAACTTACATGCCTCACCGTGAGGCACAGCCCTGTCCCAGGAACAGGGTCTCTGCAAACATGTCCTGCTGGACATAGGGCAGAAGATGACCCACACTGGGGCATAGGCCTGGGCCTGGGTCCCTGCACACCCCCCTTAGCTTCCCCATCACCATTACTGAGCCTCCAGGCCTAAGGGTTTGCCCTGACAGAAAGCATCCTGTTCTTAAAGAAACTTGACTCGAGTTTCTTATGGGTGTCAGTCCCCTAAATCCTGCCTATTAGCAAACAGATCCTGATCACGTACACAACCCAGGACACTTTATAGCTAAAGGTAAATTCTGTTTATAAATGAAATGTGTGTTTTCCTGAGACTCACTAAAATGACCTTAGTTCTGAAAAATTTCAGTGAGACCATTTCTACTCAAATGAATTAGTATTACTACAGTAAATGAAATAAAAGTCTTATAATTGACATTAATTCAGGGAGGTGGAGAAAAAAATAATTAAAAGAAAAGGTTTTGCAGGGCTGACAGGTGGCATGATGGTTAAAGGTGCTGGATTCGCACATCACTGACCATAGTTCGAGTCCTGGACCTGGAGGCTTGCTTTCTCCTTTTCTCTCTCTCTCTCTCTCTCTGGTCAAATAAAAATAATAATAATAAATGGAAATAAATAAGTGATTCTTTAAAAAAAATTGTTGCTGTAGGGCATGTGCCCTCACCAGAGAGAGACAGAGAGGGAGAGAGGAAAGTGAGAAATCGCTCCTCGGGGGGATGACCACACTACAATCTTTTCTCTTCTATCCTCCTCTCAGGATTTTGGGCACACACACACACACACACACACACATATGGTGTGACTTTCAAGCCACTGGGCTGGGTCTTGAACTGCACAATCAACCAGGTTGGCTCTAGCCACCTTAACTACCACACCACCAGTTGGCCCTCAAAATGAATTAAAACACACACAAAAAGCAACCTTTTGGGGTACATGCACCTGCCAGAGAGATGGGAGTGGCCTGGTCACACCATAATCCTCCTACTTGCCCATTTCTCCCTCTTGGGATTTTGGCATGCACACATATGCACCTGGTATGTTTCTCAAGCCACTGGGTCTTGGGCTTGAATCACAGTCAGGCATGTGGGTTCCAGCTGCCTTAACCACCAGGCCATGCATTATCCCCTAAAATGGTAAGTTGAAGGACAGATTACATCTGGGATTCAGGCTGGTCAACAGACCCTGTTTTCCTTGATATAAGTATCTTTATTCGATTGTTCAATTCCAATGTTTCAAATTACATTAAAAACAGGCAAGTTAATAAAAATGTGCAAGGGGGATTACTGAGCATAACATTTTCCAATCCCCAAATACTAAGAACCCTGGCTTCAGTGTGAGTCGTCCTCAGAATTCTGCTGAAGGAAGGAAGCCATCCCACCCCTCCGCATCTTCCTCTGCCCCACAGTCGTCGATCACAGGTAAGCAAAGCACTCCTACTGAACACCACGCAGTTGTTCCCGGCTACCGACGACGGCTCAGCTCTAATTAACTTACGTGCCGAAACAGAGATGCTCAAAGATATTAGCTACAGAAAGATACAGACTCACCCAAATGTTCATGCAACAACAATGGATTAATTAACCTCACTGGGCAGAATCACCTTCTATCTGAACGTGCTAAGAGACAAAGGTTGTTTCGGCATTTATAATCATCCAGCCTAACACACACGTGCTGGCTTTTCCTTGCCAACACTCTAGAGAGGGGAAATAATGGACCTCCTCCCTCCTGGGGTTGGCTTTTCTTTTTCTTCTTTTTTTCTTTCAGAGAGAGAGATTTTTGCAGTAAGGTACGTGAGCTCCTTGGAGAGACAGAAAGAGACAGAGAGACAGAAGGCAAGTAAATCACCCTCCAGGGGATGGGGGGGAGGCCACACCACAATCCCTTCTCCTCCATTCTCTCAAAATTTTGGGCACATGCACACACGTGCCTGGCATGAGTTTAAGTGGCTGGGACCGGGACTTGAACCACAGTCAGCTATGTGGGAGTCCAGCAACATAACCATTTTGCCATCTGCTGGTCCTGGGGTGGGCATTTTTTAAACTTCAGGTTAAGAAGTAGTCACTTTCCATAGACTTCCAAATTGCTCTCGATCATCTCTGAATAAGCCAGTTTCTGGAGAGACGGTTGAGAAGGTCTCGGTGGAGCCCCATCGCTGTCCCAGCCACGAGCTGAGTTACCTCCCATCTCGGGCCTGATTCTCCAGCCTCCCTGCACTGCATTATCTGACATCGTTCCTCTGCTGGGATATGCTGAGAGAACTGAGGAATCCTTGCCAGTTCTGCCCAGAGGAGACCAGCCAGGAGAAAGTCTGGGAGCTACAGGCTGCCCTGATCCTCCACTGGGCGGTCAGAGAAAGCAGGCACAGGAGCCCAGCCCTGACACTCAGTGACCCCACAGCTGTCCTGCCTCTCCTGCGACCGGGCCTCCTTGACCGCCATCTGCTAGGGTACAGTGGCTGCTGTCTTGGGCCACCACTGGGGAGATGGACCAGAATGGTCAAAGCTAGGATCGGCAGGGCCACCTTCCTGCCTGCCTGGCTCTCTCCTCGCCTTCTCCCGGAGTTCAGGAACGTTTTCCAGTGGGCGGCTGTCTCAGTTAACCACGGACCTGCATTTCCAGGTGGAGGCCACTGAGACTCAGCACAGGCATAAGTCCCCAGAAAGGCCGAGGTGCAGCAGCTGTGGCTCGGAGTGACCTGGAGAGTGTAACTCTGCATTAGTGGGATTCCCCTCACTGCAGGGCCTACTGGGGATAAAAAGGGCAGTGTCCGGGCCAGTGGGTGGCGTGGTTAGGGCGCTGGATTCCCCTTGGCTGACCACAGTTTGAGTCCTGGACCTGTGACTTGCTTTCTCACTTCTCTCCTCTCTGTGATCAAATTAAAAATAATAATAATAATAAATAAAATTAAATAGATTTCTTTTTTTAGAAAGGGCAGCATCTGGGCATTTTGCTTTGGGAGGGAAAAGGACAATTAAAAACAAGTAAAAGTCAACCACGCCACGCACCCGAGGGCGGAGGGGGCTGCCAAGTCCCGCGGCATCGCAGCTCGAGAGGCGGGCGGCATTCCCGGGACGCCCGGCGGCCGGGCACGGCTGCTGGACCTCACTAAGCACGGTGGACAAACAAAAACGAACAGCTCCAGTGAGGCTGCCATGAGCTTCATGAAGCAAAGCCTGCGACCTTCTTCAGAAGATGTGATTTCCTATTCGCCCACAAGCCAGGGCACAGGGGACTCACCTTTCCCCCTCTCTGCCATGCTCAGCACGCTGTCTTACAGACCCCGGGACCATTCCTCCTGCTGTCTGCAGACTCAGAAATGAAAGCCAGCTTGTCCCTACATCCTGGAGCCAGAAAGTCTTCCTGGAGATCCTGCCACCTGCCACTACGCCGTGAACACACTCTCCGGCTACTCCACTTCAAACCGACATCACACGCCCTCTGCCTCCGATGACTGCTGGCTCCAGGGGAGAACAGAGTCCGTGTACAGAGCCTAGAAGTCCTGGGCACCCCAGAATCCTGTTATGAGAAGCCCAGCACGCATCCCCTGTTGGCACAAAGCTTCGGCAAACCATTTCTTAACCTTAAGTAAGGACCCAGCGTGACTTCCTGACTCACGGCTTCTCAGAACTTGCCCTTTCCTTACAGTATGATTTGTAAACAACTTTTTCTCCTACTCAACCTGGAGGAAATAACCAGGTTCTAAAATGCAAAAAACTGGTTTCATTGATCATGCTGCTAGGGAATGTCTCCAAGGACACGTCCACTCCATCCACCCTGGAGCTCGGTCCATCTGCGGACACAGAAGGCTGCCCTCCCCCTAGGGTCCACACTGGGGGCTCATGGAGAGGGAGGTTGCAGTACTCAGCACGTCCCCTCCGTTTGGAAGAGATCAGCTGGTGGACTGGCTTCACAGCCGAGCGGTTAAGGGAGCCAATACCACAGGGCTGACCATGGTTCAAATCCCAGCCCCAGAGGCTTGAGAAACAAGCCGGGTGTGTGTGTGTGTGTGCCCCAAATCCTGAGAGGATGGATAAACAGAGAAGGGACAGCAGCGTGACCATGCCCGGTTGGAGGTGCTTTCTCACTAGTCCCCATCCCCCACAGCATACACACCCTCTGACAAGCAAGGAAGGCAGGCAGAAAAATGGGAAAGGAAGGAGAAAGGAAGGAGGGAAAGAAAATAAAAGAAAAAAAAAGAAAGAAAAACAGAGCAGTCAACTGGTAATGGGAACACAAACTCCCCAGCACCCACCTCGCACCCACAGCTAGCGGCACCCGAAGGGAGAGAACCAGGCTTTGATGGAGTTTTAAAGTCACAAAACCTTTTTTCCTTTTAGGGTCCAGAGCTCACAAATTCACTACGCTGGCGTGAAATCCAAAGATACCGCTCACTGTCACTCGAACTGAGTGACTCTCCGAAATCAGGTCTGTGTGCTCACCCACACGCTTCCTCCCTCTCTGCATTGAAGAGTCCTGCTGTGGGACCAGCAAATGGTGTAATGGTTATGTCATTGGACTCCCAAGAGTCGACTGTGGTTTGAGTCCCGGATCCAGAAGCTTAAACCTCTCACTGAGTGCATGTGCGTGCATGCCCAAAGTCCCGAGAGGAGAATGGAGGAGAAGGGATTGCGGCATGGCCATCCCCCCCGGGGGTGATTTCTTATTTCCTGTCTCTCTGTCTCTCTCTGTCTCTCCAGCAAGTGCATGCACCCTCTGGTCTCCATGGACTCTCACTTACAAAGCAATAACAACTGCCTCAAGGTGACCGAAGGTGGAAGAACAGTATTTCTCCATTTCTGGAGAAAATGAATGTGAGAAATGGTTTCTATGCTGCGAAAACTTGTCAAACGTAAGGAAGAAGAACCTTCAGATTCCCCTCTTTTCTCCAGAGGTCTTTGCAAATGAGTCAGCCCAGCCACCCAGATGTACCCAAACTTAAAGATGAAATGGAATTAAAGTCTGTTTAAAGAGAGTCGGCTTTGGAAGAATAAGGTTTTTAATAAAAACAAAAATTAAGAGTCATCATTTCTACTACGGGAACACCTCTGGGTAAATGTTGATACAGAATTAAATGACTCATGCCTATTATCAAATGTGGAGAGAGACAAGCAGAAATTTGATGGGTAGAAAAAAGCTTTATAGGTAGGCTGGGGTTAGGACAGTCCCTGGTGGCCTAGCAGTGACCCGTGCCTAGAATAAGACTTCTTGAACTGGGCCCCATAGAGTCCTTAAAATATCTACCACTGGGTCAGCCTCATGGCCCAGTGGTTAGGGGAACCGGATCCCACACGGCCGACCATTGTTTGAGTCCCAGCTCCATAAGGTTGAAAAACATAAAGGGCGCATGCATGCATGTGCTCAAAATCCTGAAAGGAAGGAGAAATGGCGGAGAGAGGATCTTGCCATGACCACACCCCAAGGTGTACTTTCTCCTTCTCCTTCTCATGTCTCGCTCTGTGAAGAGACTGAGCCCTTTTGTTTAAAAAAAAAAAGAGAGAGAGATCTACCACCTGGGACCAGCAGATGGCATAATGGTTGTATTGCTGGACGCTCACATGGTCAACTGCAGTTCGAGTCCTAGATCTGGAGGCTTAAAACACGCTGTGCGTATGTGCCCAAAAATCCTAAGAGGAGAATGGAGGACAAGGGATTGCAGCTGGCTGGGGCGGGGTTTTCTCGTTTTCTGTCTCTCTGGCAAGTATACGCACGCTATAGCAAAAATCACTTTAAAAAAAACCTACCACCATCCTTCAACTTTTATATTAACATTGTATGTGGGGTACATTTTCCTCAAGAGAGGGTACATCACTTTTCTTGGACTTTTTTTTTTTTTTTTTTTAGGAGAGATTTTTTGCAATAGGGTGCAGGTGCTCACTGGAGGACAGAGATAGAAAGTGAGAAATCACCCTCCAGAGGGGATGGCCACATCACAATCCCTTCTCCTTCATTCTCCTCTCAGGAGTTTGGGCATGCACACACATGTACCCAGTATGAGTTTTAAGCTGCTCGGTCCAGGACTCGAACCGTGTTTGACTACATGGGAGTCCAACAACATAATTATCACAATGACTGCTGGTTCCCCTTGGACTTTTTTTTTTTTTAATTGCCAGAGGGTGCATACACTCACTAGAGAGAGATAGGGAGGAATCACCCCCAGTGGGGTGTGGTCACACTGCAATCCCTTTTCCACTTCTCTGTCCTGTCAGGATTTGAGTTGGGTGTGCATGCATGCACACCCAGTGTGTTTTCCACCTGCTGGGGCAGGGATTCGAACTCTGGTTGGCCATGTGAAATCTGGCTCTCTCACCCACCAGGCTTTGAGACGGGCCTAGTCCTTGGACTCTTAAAAGGACCCCTTGGCTGACCTCAGGCCTTCCCACAGGACAAATGGTGAGACCATGTAAGGGATGGGGTGTTGTAGGAGTGGTCTCAGTCAGTCAGCATCTGCAGACGTGGCCCTGCCTTAGCACAGGTCTCTCCTTCCGAGCAGGGAGGAGCGCCTCTCCCAGACTATGGCCTAGGGCCCCAACCAGAAGACAAAACTGTGGCTCATGTTGGAGTTATGTGGGTTTAACCATTTTCTCAACGGGGACTCCCATGCAAGGGAAGCACTGAGCTTTGCTTTCATGCCTCATTTTTAATACCTACCTTAATTGTTCAATACAAATGCAAATTTCAAGCCAGACTGAAATTCCAATCTTTTTTATTCAACACAGTTATGTGATTTAACTACAGTTTGGGTCAGTGCCGGGAAACACCGGGAAACAGACACTGATCTCCAGAATGCTCTCATTTCTGTGCGGCAGGCCTGCCTCCTGCTTCCCTTCCTCGGACCATGTCCGCCCATCACCCTCCTTGAGCTGCGGTGACTTCTCTTTCTCTTTTGCTATAGGGAGCATGCACTTGAGGGAGAGAGAGAGAAAGAAGAGAGAGAGAGGGAGAGATTGCCCCCCCAGAGGGGATGGCCATGCTGCAATCCCTTCTCCTCCCCTTGGGACCATGGCCATGCACGCATGCGTACCCAGCATGATTTTCAAGCTGCTGGATCCGGGGCTCAATCCATGGTTGGCCACATGGGAAGTCGGCACCTTAACCACCACGTCACCTGCTGACCCTCCTCCTCTCTTAACTAAGACCTAGCTGTCAGTTGGAGGGATCAGTGTCAGAAGTTTGATCTACTAACCTCCCTGTTTTCTGTACATGTCTAGAAACCTGAGGTCTTAACTGAAAGGGCTAACTCATGGCTAGTTATCTCTGAGGCATGGTGGTGGGGTCCTATGTGGCTGCAACACCCAACCTTCAAAGGTGCTTTCTGCCTTGGGACAGCAAGCACACTGACGCCAGACAGTAACTCCCAGACAGGGGGCCGGCCGTGGGGGTGCAGCGCCGAGGTCGCACTCTGTGACGCTGAGCCACATGGCAAGGTCCCAGGCCACATCCTGAGGTCTTTCTGTACATGCCAAGTGCATGTACACGTGTCCATGACTCTCAGAAGCTGAGGCTGGTGGTGAGCTGCAGGGGTGAGTCCCTGCTGGGAGGGAGGGGCATCTCTCTCTCTCTCTCATAGAAAAAAGAAACTTAAAAAAAAAAAATCAGACATGCAGGGGGTTAGAAAGTCTCCTCTAGCCAGGATTAAGATGGTTCCTAAAGCCATTTTATTTATCTATTTTGTCTATGTAAAAAGAAGCCTGGGGTAAGAACTCTTACATAGATGATATATTTCACAGGAAAGCATACCCCACTGAGCTCAAGTGATCTGCAGCTGTCCTGAAACCTACATGGCGAGGCCAGGCAATAAAGCCCGCTAGCGAATGCACATCCACCCTCTCCTAGCTGCAAGCATATTGTGGCTCAATCATTTTTAAAGCCTGGCCACTTTCCCATGCACTGTTTCCCTGGCAAGGAGGCCCCGGGGGGAACTGAGCCGTAGCAGAGAACCTTGGCACTGAGTGACAAGACCACATAGATCCAGATATTATCTCTATGGGGACAAGGAGCCAGCTCAGCAAGCAGACCTGGTGTTCTGAGGAGCGCAGAGAGCCAGGGGGTAGGGAAGAAGAACCGAAGCCACCCCTCACATTTCCTAAAATGAAAAATGGCAGACACATGGCAGACGGGTAGAGGAGGGCACCGGGGACGAGGACCGCCTGCATGTGACATTTCCCAACTCCCCAAGGGCACAGAACATGCGATAACATGCAGGAACAGCCACTGGGACGGGTGTGCTTTTGCTCACCAGGGCTAAGAACCCACAGAAGCTGACCTGCCGGCAAAGGAGGGGTTCCGAACAAAGTAAGAGTGTGAGATTGAACACAGGGAGAGGTTGGGGTCTGAGAGACTGGAAGGGAAGGTAAATAGAAAGTGGACAGAGGAGTGAGTAAAGGAACGGTCAACGCTGGAAGAGAAGAAAGGGGACTGTGGCTGAGAGGAACGGCACCTAGGGCCCAGTTTTTAACATTTCTTTTTCAGTTTTCACCATCGTAGTGTTACTGTTGTCGACGACATTTACAAAATCTATGAAACCAAGGACTTTGTCCCTTTTATCTCTAGCTATTTTCTCCTTGCAGTATAGGTAGCATATTTAACCGCGTGATAATCATTACATCCTCCAGGGGGGTCTTTACATTAGCAATAGCGAAGTCATAAGAAGCCCTGTCGAATACCCAAGACCATGAAGACCGACTGCCATGGCCACATCTGGGGATCCAGTCCAACTCTGGGTGTATCTTAAAAGCAGATGGCCAGCAGGCCCGCAAATTTCAGTTAGCTTTCTTGTCCCTCATTCCCCCCAAAACACTTACGGCATGGTTACCCAGTACAAGGCATTCACTAGGGCATGCTTAGGAAAATGATCTCCCCTGAAGACACAGAGACATACAGTTTTGTCAAACGGGTGTAAAATGGCTACCCCTGATGACCTACTGTCCTTCCCACACTCAGCACGGGCGGGATTTCTCCTCTGGAAGAGTGTCTTTGGCGCCTGCCTCTAATCCCCCCAAAGTAGGCCATCTCTGCTGGATGCACGGTCCGTTGGTGGAATGGACGGATGCTCCCCTCGGGTCAGAGGTCATGCCAAAAATAGGCGTGGCGGAGGCAGGTCTTCAGACGGCATTCTGTACTGCGGATGCCCCCTGGCCCTGACGCAGGGCAGCCATCCAAGGCTCCTGCACACGGACTGTCCTCTGCACGGAGTCACTTCCAAAGCCAGGTGACAGACGGGGTTCCCAAAGGCTGCCTTCGTGTCTACAGGACCTTATCTTGCCATTTGGAGGTAGGTTCAACCGTGAGGCCACCGTGAGGGGGAACCTGATGGAGAAGTTGGCTCCTCTCCTTGGCGGGTCCAAGGGTGAGCACGCCCACGCAGCAGGCTGGTCCCCGCTGCCATTTTGGAGACGCTGGGTTGGTTGCCACTGACATCACAATCCTCCTCTTGCTCGCTCTACCCACACATACACACACATCTGCCACACTTGGCTCTCACGGCCTGGAAGGACAGAAGCGCTTCCTGAGCAATGGGGCTGACCTGCAGAGAGGGTCATTTGAAATAAAACACAGCCTGGATGGTAGGAAAAAAAAATCTCTTCTAGGAAGGGGCAGGGGAGAGAATGGGGGCAAGCGCCAGGAGTCAGGATAACAGGGACGATCGCAGCACGAGGAGTCAGCAGGGGTTCCTTGAGAAACCAGGGAGGCAGCCACAGGACACGGCAGCTTCCAGGGTGTCACACAGCTGCTTAGGAAGCAGACGGCACCATTTGTAAACCAAAGAAAAAAGGGAAGGAACCAAGGAGGGGGCAAAGAATCTACGGGAAGCACAGGGACAGGCCAGGATGTTGCGGTTCTGCGTTGGGAGCATGCCAGGGAGCCAACTGACTACACGCATGCAGGGATGTGCGGCCTCGCCGATCAGAAGAGAAACGCACAAGAAAGGGCAACTGATGCGAAAGCGAGTAACCGTGGCCGGGGGAGACTGCACTCAGAGTGGTCAGAGGCCCACGCGCAGGAGGCAGGCTCTGTCCACCAAAGAGCAGAATTCTGAAAGCCAGGGCTTTGGGCAGCGAGGGAAGGAGGGGCCATCCCAGCAGAAGGCAGGACGCAAGTCAGGGACAGGATGGTGTTTCTGCAGGGAAGTCTGGCCTGGTCACTAGACTCACGTCCCTGGAGAGACCGTCTGATGTCAACGCCTCTAAATGGTTTCTACACTGACGACTTCTAATTTATCTCTCGAGGGTCCAGCCTTCTCTCCAGAACTTCGGCTCTGGGCATCCACCTGCCTACTCACTATCGCCCCCTGTCGGAGGTAGGCAGAATAACAGACCTCACAGGTGTCTGCATCCTAATCCTTGGAACCTGTGGCTACGTTACTTTCCATGACGAAAGATTTTACAGATGTGATTAAATTAGGGTCTTGAGATGCAGAGATAATGCTGAACTAGCCAGGTAGGACCAAAGTAATCAACTGAATCTCTAAAACTGGAGAATCTGCCTGGCTCCAGTCAGGAGCAACTGGGAGTCTGGACGTCAGATCAAAGAGATACAATGGGGGCCAGCAGGTGGCATGGTGGTTAAGGCACTGGACTCCCGCATGGTCAACCGTGGTTCGAGTTCTGTACCTGGTGTCTTAAAAATCACACAGCATGTGTGCGTACCCAAAATCCCAGAAGGAGACTGGAGGAGAAGGGATTGCATTGTGGCCATCCCCCTGGGGGTGAGGGGGGTAGGGGGATGATTTCTCACTTTCCCTCTCACTGTCTCTCTCCAGGGAGCCCACTCGATGTTCCTGGCTCTGAAGGTGGAGGAAGGGGTTACAAGCCAAGGAATGTGAGCAGTCCTGAGAGTAGAGACCCCAAGGAAAGTCTCTCCTAGAGGCCCAGGTAGGAGTGCCTTGACCTTAGCCTCCCAGACCGGCATCGGACTTGACTCTGCAGAACTGTGAAGTCACAAATGTGTGTGGCCTTAAAGCAACAGTAGCCCTGTGACGTTGTCACAGAACACTTCATTCCGATCACCGCTCAGACATCTCCTTCCCAGAGAGGCCTCCTGGTGTCCATGGAAGCCGGCACCACTTCCCAGAGCACCTCTGCCACGGGGTGCTCCGTCCTCAGCTCTGCTCTTCCTCTGACACTGATCGCTCTCAACTGTATTATTTGGGTCATTGGAAAAGTCATGACACATTTTTGCACAGAAAAACAGAAAAAAAGTCATGACTTTTCTCAACCATTCAATCTATTTCATTGTCACGTCTCTCCCTTGTACAGAATCAGCTCACAAGAACCAGGGATGTTTTGATCTCTGCTATCTCTCTCTCTCTTTAATTGCTAGAGGGTATGTGCTCTCACGAGGGAGAGAGAGACAGAGAGAGCCTTCCAATGGGGGTGGTCATGGCACAATCCCTTCTCCATCTCTCCATCCTGTTGGGATTATGGATGAGCCACACATAGCCAGGCGTTTTTCAAACTGCCAGGCAGGGATTCGAACTGCAGTCAGCTGTGTGAGATCCAGCTCCCTTCACCACTAGGCCATGGGCTGGCCTGCTCTAACAACAAAAAAGCTGCCTAACACTGATGGATGAGTTGCCTAAGTAGATGAAGTCAACTCTTGGCTCTCCCTGTGGAAGTGAGGGACCAGGAGCCTGAGGACTGAAACTCAGCCCAAGAGGACACACGGCTAAGCAAGCAATGCTGACTGTAGGCAGAGGCCGTGGGGTGCTGAGAGTCACTCTGGAGGGTTCCTGCCATGGCCCAGTGTGAGGAAGACTGACGTGAACTGGGGGTGAGGGGGACAAATGGTCTCTGTCCTTCCCCGCCCTTGACTCCCAGCAGCCCTGTGTGAGGCACAGGAGTGGAATGCGATCTGTGTGGGACACTGCTGGGTCCTCCTAGAACCCCAGTCCTGCTGGACAGACAGTGATGGGTTTGGGGTTCCCATTTAGGGAGGGAACCAGCCATCACGGGGGATGTGGTAACATGGCAGAAGGCAGAGCAGAGAGGAAGAAAGCAAGAATGGAGGACAGTGGGCACCTTTAGAAGCCAAAGCCCAGTGGATCTGCAGATCCATTGTGTGATGAAACGCAGAAAACAGGCAAGAGTTCTCAAGACTCGTACGAGCAGGTAAAGAGCTATGCTTGCCCCACCTCTCTTCCTCTCAGTGCCATGGGCACCTGCTTTTGAGAGAAATTTTTGCTCTCCAGAGAGACAGAGACAGAAAGCGAGAAATCTCTCTCCCAAGGAGGATAGCCACGCTGCAATCCCTTCCTCTCCATTCTCCTCCTGGGATCTTGGGCAAGCACGCACACGTGCCCAGCATGATTTTCAAGCTGCTGGGTCTGGGATTCGAACTGCGGTCTGCCACGTGGGAGTCCAGCACCTTAATATCATGCCTCCTGTTGGCTCCACTGACTTCCGTGTTTTGCTCACCATCCTGAAGCCTGCAAGTCCCTGACAGCTCCACACCCCAACATCTGGACACCCCCGGGGCCATGCACCCTTCCTGTCCCTGTCCCTGTCAGTTCAGGCCTCGGTCACACAGATGTATGACCCTAACACTTTCCTAGATTATCCCTCTGCTCCAGGCTCCTCCTCCTCCACTTCATCGTGTATTGCACCACCGTAATGTTCCTTCCCAAACACCCACTTTAGGTTCAAAACCCTTCGATGGCTTCACCCATTTAGCCCAACCTTTAAGGTTTCCTCATCTGGGCCCGATTTCCCCTGCTTCCCTTCGCCTAGACTGACGACACCCCGTTCATTGTCTCACACCCCTCTCCAGATGTGCCCCATCCCACGTCATGGCCAGGAGCCACGTGTACCTACTAGTTTAGTGAAAATGAAATAAAACTTAAAATTCAGTTCCTCAGGGCCAGGCTTATGGCTTTGTATTTAAGGGAGTCCGATTCCACAGGGCCAACTGCAGTTGGAATCCAACTCCACCGGCTTGAAAAAACAGGCCTGTGCACGCATACCCCAGCTCTGGACAGGATGGTGAACTGGAGGAGGGACTGCGGCATGACCACGCCCCATTTGGGAGGGGGGTCCTTTCTCTCGCTCCCCCTCTCTCTAGCAAGTGCACGCGCCCTCGGGCAAATCGAAAGAAGCTGAAAATAATTCTAATATCTATGATTTCCATCTACCGTAACCACTAGCGCACACCGAGAACGGAATTCTGGCTTCCTATGTGCACGGTTAAACGTACCATGGCCTTCTCTGTGCTGGCTGATGGATTGCTTCTGATCGTGCAGACGGGCAGTGCCCGCAGCTGGAGGGTAAACGCGAGGCGGAGGTTGACGAGAATCACTTAGTGATTCTTCCACTCCAAGCTGGATGCCACAAATTGTTAACCGCCTTGCCTTTCCCACAAATTATGCAGCTGTGGGCTTGAACTCTCTAAGCAGGGACACAACAAAACACGGGATGCAAAGTGAGGAGGGTATGCAGAGGGCAGCAGGGTGAGGCTCTGAATCAGGCCCGCTCAGCGTGGTGCGGGCCCTGATCCGCTTAAGTGTCACCGGGCTCTCCATAGAGATGCAAAGTCTAGGGCAGAAACTCTGCAGTCCGGGTGCAGGCCTGGGCGTGTTTTCAGTTCTTACTCCTTTTTTTTTATTTCTCGTGTTTTCAATTTTTCTTTTCCCAGAGTGTACACGCACTTGCCAGAGACAGAGAGAGAGGGAGCAAGCGTCCTCCCACCAGTGGGGCACGCTCACACCACGATCCCTTCCTCATTGCTCCGCTCTGCTGGGATGTCAGGCGTGCACTCGTACACGCCTGGTGTGGTCACGGCATCAGCGCAGGGACTCACTACAGTCAGCCACGTGCGACCCGGCTCCCTGAACCCCTAGGCCACCGTCAGTCCAGCTCTTATGCTTTTAACTTAAGTGTAATTATAATTTATACCTGCATAATGTAAACACCTTAGCATCCAGTTCCATGAATATTGACAAATGTATCACTTTATATCAAACATATATTTTTGGAGAGGTTTTTGTTATAGGGTGTGTGCACTTGCCAGAAAGACAGGGAGAGACAGAGAGAGACAGAAAGTGAGAGATCACCCCCCCTAGGGGGGATGGTCACGCCACAATCCTTTCTCCTCCATTCTCCTCTTGGGATCTTGGGCATGCACACACATGCGCCTGACATGTTTTAAGCCACCTAGTCTGGGCCTCAAACTGTGGTTGACTACATGGGAGTCCAGGGACATAGCCATGACACCAACTGTTGGTCCCTCAAATATAATTTTTTTTTTTTGAGAGGTTTTTGCGTGCGCTCGCCAGACAGACAGAGAGAGACATAGAGACAGAAAGCGAAAAATCACCGCCCAGGGGGGCTGGTCATACTGCAATCCCTTCTCCTCCATTCTCCTCTCGGGATCTTGGGCACGCACGCACACGTGCCCAGCGTGAGTTTTAAGCCACCAGGTCTGGGACGTGAACTGTGGTCGACTACATGGGAGTCCAGCGACATAGCCATTACGCTAACTACTGGTTCCCCTCAAATATAATTTTTAAAAAACATTTTCAAAGATTTAATTTTATTAACTATTACTATTTTAATTTGCTAGAGAGCACAAGCACTCATCAGGGAGAGACAGAGAGAGAGAGAGAAAGTGAGAGAGCAAGCTACCGGTCTGGGACCCTAACTGTGCCCAGTCAAGTGGGGGTCCAGTGCCTTAACCACCATGCTACCTGCTGGCCCCTCTAAAATCATTCTGAAGAATACAGTTCAATTAGTAGTAACTATATTGACATGGATGTGGAACAGATTTCTAGAATTTTTATTTATTTATTTTTTTTAGGTTTTTGCCATAGGACAATGTGTGCTCACCAGAGAGAGAGGGAAAGTGAGAAATCACCCCCCGGGGATATGGCCATGTTGTAATCCCTTCTCTTGGGATTTGGGGCATGCACACACACATGCCTTACATGATTTTCAAGTTGCTGGGTCTGGGACTTAAACCACGGTTGGCTGCGTGGGAGTCTAGCACTTTGATCACCACGCCACCTGCTGGCCCTAGATCTGTAGAATGTAGACATTTTGCAAAACTGATACTATGCCTACCAAACAGCAGCTCCCTCCTACCCTGGCTCCTGGAGAGCTTGCGTCTGATCAAACCCTCCAGATGACTGGAACTTAGGTTAGGTATCCGCGCTGATGACCCCAGGGCAGAGGTTGGGAGGAAGGGCCAGGGAAGGCAGGGACGCGGGAGGGCTGGCCTCTCAGCCAAAGCCCACGAGAAGTGCTACAGGAATGCTCTTGGCCCAACAGTTTCCAAACCCAATCTGGGGGTGCCCTGTGAGGACACGGCTCTGGGCTCAATGCTGTGGGACCTAACACAGACAAACAGACAGCTTTTCTCATAGCCTTGTGTAGGCACAAGTTGAAGGATGAAACTGTCCTTCTTGACATTAGACCACGGTCCAGGAATTTCACTCGACTCCGCCACAGATGTGAGAATACCCACTCTGATTGGATGGGGGTACTTCCATCTGTAGCCACGCCAGGTAGTCACTCAGTTCCGGCTCTGAACTTTCTCTGCCCGTTTTAATCATTTATGCCTCTCACCTGGACATTCCCAACTGATTCATAACACAAAGGAAATAACCAGTGGCACTGCAAACCGCAGAACAGTTTTGATTTACATGTCATTAAGAGCAAGAGGCATTTACTGTTCTTTGCAGGCCAAAAGGGATTTGCATCATGAATAATGCAAAAAGCAAAGTGCATTAAGAACTCTTCTGCAGACACCGTTCTCTCCAGGCCACACCGCAGGCACGTTCATCGAGGACCTCCAACCTGTGGGGCGCATGTCCGTACACACACAGCGGCAGCCTGGCTCTCAAGGATCAGAATGAGCCAATTCTGCTCCACTTGCTAGGAGCTGGAGTGCCTGGATCACTATCTCTGGACTCTCAAATATCCACTGACTCAGGGCCACAAGCAGAGCAAGAGCTAGGAATTTAAGAAACAACCCAGAGCTCTGGCAATTTTAGACGTGGTTCTGGTATAGCCCTTTTATGTCCTGATATATCTGTAAATATTGACCAACCAAGGAGAAAGCATCTGGGAGAAAACAGGCTCTCATGTTTTGTAGGGAAGAAAAAAAAAGGCAATAACAAATAAACCCCAAACAAAACAACAACGGCACTTAATTCTACAATGAGGAAGCACCGGAAAGGTATCGTCAG